TCTTTTTAGAGGAAAACATCGGTTATTTCTCTTTTCTGTTTTCTCACTCGCTGCCCGTGCCTGCTGGTCCCTCCGCAGCTCGCCACCCAGGCGGGGATCCCCCCCGGGGCCTACAACGTGGTGCCCTGCTCCCGGAGGAGGGCCCAGGAGGTGGGGGAGGCGCTTTGCACCGACCCGCTCGTATCCAAGATTTCCTTCACCGGCTCCACGGCCACCGGGAAGGTGCGTCGTTTGTTCTCGTGTTTTCCCTTTACAACGTTTAACAATGGGCCGGCCGCCGCGTAGGAAGCTGCTGGCAGAGGCTCAGGCTCAGGGTCCACTTGTCTAGGACGCGCCCGGGTCTCAGTGCTGGATGCAGGTTTCATTCATAACCTAGAACCAAGCTCCCAGAAACACACCGTGGGGGTTGAAATGCACGTCTCAGACTTGAATGAAAATTGTGTTTAGTACAAAGGTACTTACAGAAAATAAGGGGACTTTTGTAAAAATTGATTTCAGAGAGGAAGGGAGAGAAGAGAGAGAAACATCAATGATGAGAGAGAATCGTGGATCGGCTGCCTCCTGACACCCCTCAATGGGAATCGAGCCCTCAACCTGGGCCTGTGCCCTGACGGGGAATCGAACCCTGACCTCCTGGTTCATAGGTCGATGCTCAGCCACCGAGCCACGCCGTTGGGCACTCCCCCCCCCCTTTTTTCTAAATATTTTTATTGATGTCAGAGAGGAAGGGAGAAGGAGAGAGAAATAGAAACATCAGTGATGAGAGAGAATCATGGATCGCTGCCTCCTGCACGCCCCCTACTGAGGATCGAGCCTGCAACCCGGGCCTGTGCAGGACCCTTCAGTCCGCAGGCCAGACAGTCAATCCACTGAGCCACACCACCGGGCACTCCCCCTTTTCTTATGCGAAGTGTCATCACATATTCGCCTGGCACCTTCGCTGTTGGTTCACTTGGAAAGGGCTGGCGGGTCCTGGTGGCGGAGGCCTCGCGCAACCACGGCCCCTTCCCCTCTGCCCAGGCGCTGCTGCACCATGCGGCCAACTCCGTGAAGAGGGTGTCCATGGAGCTGGGCGGCCTCGCCCCGTTCATCGTGTTTGACAGCGCCAACGTGGACCAGGCCGTGGCGGGGGCCATGGCTTCGAAATTCAGGAACTCAGGACAGGTGAGTCCTGGGCGTGTCCCGGGTCATGCGTGTCTGTGTTTTACAAAGGTCCTTGCACCTCCTGCGTCTCCTGGGAGGAAACTTGGGTTCCTTCCACGGTCCATTCTTTCTTCTTTCACCTTCTCAGCAAACAGTAAGGCCCTCTCTTTACCAGGGGCCGGAGGCTGGGAGGCCCCGAGAGAAAGAAGGGGTCCCTGGCTTCACGGAAGTTCTTTTCATCAAACCGTCCTCTCTTCCCGCGGCGGGCACTGCGGCTGCACGGGCCTGGTTCTGGGCTGGGTCAGCGGCCGCCGACACACACGTCCACCCGTTCATTCTTCTCTCTCTAGACCTGTGTGTGCTCCAACCGGTTCCTGGTGCAGAGCGGGATCCACGACTCCTTCGTGAGCAAGCTGGCGGAGGCGATGAGGGCCGGCCTGCGCGTGGGGAACGGGTTTGAGGAGGGGACGACTCAAGGCCCGCTGATCAACGAGAAGGCGGTGGAAAAGGTAGCTCGTTGGTCGTTTGTTCAGTTCCCCGGTGTTGGCATCGGAAGGTTCCCTGGCAAAAGGCACTTGGGTAAGGTGCCCAGCAAGGCTGTTTTGGAAACGGCAGAGACGTCGGAGAAAAACGGAATTCCTGCCAACGTGTGTGCGTTGTGGGGCGTCACCTGGCCACAGCCTTTCCGCTGTCCTGGCGCCGCGTCCCCTGAGCGTCCCTGTAGACCTGCTGCGCTCCCTGCCTTTCCTCTGAGGGCGGTGGACTCCACCCCCGGCTGCCTCAGGGCCTCGAAACACAAAGTTCTTTAATTTTCCCAACGCGTGAAAGGGAAGGAAGACGGCTTTGTTGTCTTGTGGGTTGTTTCTTTAAAATATATTTTTATTGATTTCAGAGAGGAAGGGAGAGGGGGAGAGAGAGTGAACCATCAATGATGAGAGGGAATCATGGATTGGCTGCCTCCTGCACGCCCCCCCTGGGGATCCAGCCTGCAACCCCGCCTGTGCCCCGAATGGGATTGCACCTGCACCCTCTTGCTGTGTGGGACGATGCTCCACCACTGAGCCACGCCGGCCGTCGGATCTCAGAGGCCGGGGTCCACATGGAATGAGGGCGGGGGAGGGACGGGGACTGGGCTGTTTGGGTTCCAGCCGAACTGAGAAAGCGGGTCACAGAGCTCCGCTCGCTCGAGGGGGGCTCTGTGGTGGCGAGGTATCCTCACCAGCTCCCGGCCCGGCCTCTCCTCTCCCAGGTGGAGACGCACGTGAGCGACGCGCTGGCCAAAGGGGCCACCCTCGTGACCGGCGGGAAGCGGCACCAACTCGGGAACAACTTCTTTGAGCCCACGCTGCTCAGCAGTGTCACGCGGGACATGCTCTGCGCGCGGGAGGAGACCTTCGGGCCCCTGGCCCCGGTCATCAAGTGAGACCCCCGCCCGCTGAGGTCGTGGGAAGGTCGGGAGGCCTGGGTGTGGGAGGGCGGAGGGAGGGGCACTGTTGGCACGGTGACACTGGTGGTCCTCGCAGCCGGGGTGCCTTCCCCTCCGCCCGCTCTGGGTCCCTGCAGACCTGTCTCTCTGGCCATCGCTGGGAGATGAGTCGGGAGGAAGCCGGCGTTTCCTCCGAGCTCACACTCTGCTGCCCGCTCACCTGGCAGGTTCCACACGGAGGAGGAGGCGCTGGCGATCGCGAATGCGGCCGACGTGGGGTTAGCAGGTGGGTGTCCGTCCTGCCTCAGGGCCGTGGGCACGTCTCAGGCGGAGGCTGACCTTTGCCCGTGAGACGCCAGCTGGGTCGGAGGACACTTGTCTGGTGCTCGCTGAGGGCGGGCGCGTGTGCGCTCCTGTCCTTCTGCCTCGCCGCGAGCTCGGGTGGGAGCAGGGGCGGGGGAGAGGCGGAACGGTGGCTCCCGGTGGGGACTGAGTCCCTGTCCTTCGGGCTGGCTGCCTGGAAATCCGAGTGCTGCTCCCGCCCCGCTGGGCCTGGGCTGAATGGAGAGGAAGCGCGGGCTGGGCAGAGGGCGTCATGCCCGTTTCCCAGTAAAAGGACAGTGGCCACACCGTCGCCAGGAAGGGACCGGGACCACGGGCCTGCCCTCGCACGGCCGGAACATGTGGGTCCCTGACTTCGCGGGGGAAGATTCACACCCAAGGCCGGTGACCTGAGAGGACGTTTATTAAGGACGGAAGGATGGGGCAGTGAGACAGGAGAAGGGCCTCAGGTGCATGAGGAGGGTCACAGAGTGAGCCTAGGGGAGGCTGCCTTGGTCCTTTTTAAAAATATATACATTTTTATTGATTTCAGAGAGGAAAGGAGAGGGGGAGAGAGAGAGAAAGAAACATCAGTGATGAGAGAGAATCATGGATCGGCCGCCTCCTGCACGCCCCCTACTGGGGACCGAGCCCACAACCCGGGCCTGTGCCCTGATGGGAATCAAACTGTGACCTCCTGGTTCCTAGGTCGACGCTCAACCACTGAGCCACGCCGGCTGGGCAGGCCTTGGTCCTTTAGAAAGAACGTCCAGGGTCTGAGAGGACGAATCGGACAGGCCCGGCTTAGGGTCTCCCTGGGAGCCGGCGCTGCCAGGCCCGAGGGAGGAGGCTGGGTCAGTGCCCCTCAGCTCGGACAGGATGCCCCCGTGACGTCCTGCACGCCCCTTGTCCTTTCCCCGCACAGGCTACTTCTACTCCCAGGACCCCGCCCAGATCTGGCGGGTGGCGGAGCAGCTGGAGGTGGGCATGGTGGGCGTCAACGAAGGGCTGCTCTCGGCCGTGGAGTGCCCGTTCGGCGGCGTGAAGCAGTCAGGCCTCGGGCGCGAAGGCTCCAAGTACGGCATCGACGAGTACCTGGAGGTCAAGTACGTGTGCCTCGGCGGCTTGTAGGGTCCGTGCGCTTTAGGAAATAAAGGAGCTCACCTGCGCCTGTGGCACACGCCACCTGTCAGTGCACCCACAGGCGTCTGAACTACAGTAGCTTCTCTAGTCTCCTCACCCGAGGGTATTTCCCGTTGAGTTTTAGAGAGTGGAAGGGGGAGAAACATTGATGTGAGAGAGACATTGATTGGTTGCCTCCCGCACAAGCCCTGACCTGGGCTGGGGATCAACCTGCAACCCAGGGGTAGGCCCTGGACCTAGTATCAAACCCTTGACCCTTTGGTCCGCTGGCGGGCACCTTAACCACTGAGTAGAACCCTAACCACCGAGCCAAACCCTAACCACTGAGCCAAACTCTAACTCCCCGCGACCCGCCACAGACTGTCTGCCTCTAGCAAAGGGCAGCAGGCAGCAAGCTGGCCCACGGCCCCTCCCAAGGCTGGTGCCCTCTGGGCGTGACTCTGCCCCCCACACGTGGCTCAGAGCTTAGACCAGTGAGGGGCCTGGTGTCACCTGCCGTGTGTGTGTGTGTGTGTGTGTGTGTGTGTGTGTGTACGTACACGTGTGTGTGTGTACATACGTGTTCACAGCCCAGCGCTAAGAACGGCTTTCATATTCCCAAACGGGGGAGGGAACAAAGCTGTTCGTGACATGACAGTTATATGAAACTCAGACTCGGCGTCTGGAAATACAAGGTTACTGGAACACGGCCTTGGCCCCGCACCTGCCGGGGGCGCTGTGGCTGCTCTCCCGGCCGAGCCGAGTGCCCGTCCCAGGGACAGTGCGGCCCGAAGCCTGAGACACAAACTCTGGCTCTTAGAGAAAATCCCAGCCCTGACCTGGGCCCCGAGGGAGGGACCCAGCCCCTGACTGACCTGGACCCGGAGTTAGGGACCGACCTGCCTGCGATTGTCGATGACTCCTGTCGAGCACCCGCCTGTAACGGGATCCTCTGGGCTGTGCTCCAGTGAGTTCTCCCGAGAACTCCTCCCGCAGTTATCACAAAACTCAAAGGAAAAGTAAACGGAAATACAAACGGCCCCAAATCCTTAAAAAAGCAGCATGTGGTCTCCGACACGTCAGCCCTGTGGCTGGAGGCCTGTCCCCGTCCACTGCCCTCCCAAGGCTTTCTCTGTGTGACTCCTCCTGATGGGAGGACCCGGAGCCGGGCAAACGGTCTCCCACATCCGCCACGCACACGAGGCCTTCGTGCGACTGACGGGTGTCTCTGGAGCCCAGGGTTGAAGGTAAATTATTTCCCACATTCCAGTGCCCACAAGACCCTTATCCAGTGTGAATTCTCGGTGTTTAATGCGGCTCGAGCTACGGCTAAAAGATTGCCCGTCTCCCCGGCCACAGGGTCCTGTATAAATGTGGTTCGCAGGTTTACACATCCCCACAGTTCTCGGCCCTGAGGATGCA